TGGAGGTGTCAGGTAGTTTTTCTTCTACTTCAAATATAACATGTGGTGTTCCCCAGGGTTCAATCCTTGGGCCCCTCCTCTTTTTAATTTACGTCAATGACATGTCAGCGGTAGTGAAAAATAGACTATTGTTATATGCTGATGACTCTTGAATACTTGTTTCTGGAAAAAGTTTATCTGAGGTGGAAATTTCTGTATCTGAAGATTTGTCCTTTAAGTCAATGGTTAATTGATACATGTAATAAGTTATTGTTGCACTTAGGCAAAACTGAGTCCGTTGTGTTTGGGTCTAAACAAAAACTCAGGTCACATTCAAAATTATATATAAATTGTAACGGTACTGCAATAGAAGCGTCCACATCCATCAAATGATGACGATGAGATGTGACCATTAGTGTATAAATATGGGGTTTTCCGTGGATTGAGTTTCATGAAGTTAAAATTGTTATGTATTTAAAACCGTACTTGGATAATTCAAGCAGTTTTTGCAAAGAGAGCTTTGATGTGGTATAGTAAAAAGATACAACAACAAAATGCATAAAAATGACGACTATTAAATATGTTTCCCACATTTTATTGTTAATGGAATTAATGGCATACACTAACGGATTTTTCTCAATATGATTTGACGAAGACCAAATGTGTTGAAGACAACAATGAAACATTCACTTTTAACTTTATACCGAAGACTCTCCCAGTTGGAGTCACGACAGTGCATTTGAATTCGAGCCTTGTGGGTAACTTGTATCTGAACAAGTCTACGTTCATTGACTATTCTTGGAATAAAGTAAAACTTCTGGAGGTCAATGCCGACTTACAAACTAGAGAAGGTCACTTGAATTTACAAGACTACTGTTTTAATGGTCTGAAAGAATTGAAGGAATTTAGACTGCATGTGGTCTGCTCATTCTATATGAATCCGAACACTTTCCTTAGCGTTAAAGACGTAGGCGTTCTGGATTTTAGCAGGAGTGTTAGATTTACATTGAAGGATTCAATTCCTGCTCTGAATGAATCTGATAAGTTGCCGGAATTAAATAAATTAATAAATTGATATAATCAAAATGTTCTCGTGATTCACCGTTGTCTATTGATGACCAACTCATGGAGGTACTTCAGTCAAAGAAAATTTATTATTTGGATGTGAGTAGTACTGATATAAAACAATTAACTTTACTGCCGTTTTTAAACGATTAGCCTTCTTGGAGGTCTTGGATGCATCATATAGTAATATTGGTTTCTTCAAATCTACTTATTTAGAGCAAGGCGACATGAAACGCATTAAATTTCTTGATTTGAGTTTTGTTAATCTTCCGAGGAAGGTATTTCATCTTCCACCAGGCAGACTTGTGATAGAGAATACAAATACTAGTTTTTCTAAACTTTCTAATCAGGAAGACGTCAAACTATTTTTAACTCCTGAAATTGTAAATGCGAGCGGTTTTATTCCTCACGTTTCGTCGATTTGGATAAAAAGCGTCAATTTGACCGTAGACGTAAATCCTTCTACCTTCACAAAAGAATTGATCATGAGGCAAAACAATTTACGGTGGCTTGATGTAAATGTCATTTGCGAGAATTTCAAATTTTCATCATTCAGTCGCATGGATTTATCTGAAAATGGTATGCAGTTTTTACATCCAAACATATTGTCATGCTTTCCAAATCTGCAAACATAAGACTTGTCAAGCAATGAGTTAGTGAAAATGTCCCGAGGGAGCTTAGGGTTGTTTGAAACTTTATTTTCATGTCTCAGATATTTAAAAAACATTAACATGTCAAAAAATAGTTTAAATAAACTTCCGAGAATAATAGGAATATCGAAATTATCGATTTATCTGGTAACATATTAGATCAAGTTCACATTACTTTGACTGAATTGTCTAGACTATCCGTGCTTAATCTATATGGAAACAATATTCAAGTCTTAGACCAAATGTCTATTTATAACTTGAATACCATTTCATTTGGATATGCTTCTGACATCCGTAAAACATCGTTATTTTAAAAGCAAATCCCATTTCGTGTTCAGAATGCAAAGAACTATCATTTCTCGTTTGGCTGACATCAACGAATCTTGTTGATCTTGGTTCACAGCAATTGATTTGTTACAATGAAAAGGATAAAGCAAAAATAATAACACAAGAGACTAGCAAGAAAGTCAAGTTGATTTGTCAAAGGAAGGTTATTATAATTGCTACAAGCGTTTTAGCGGGATGTACTTCACTTATTATTATAATTTCACTTCTGATATTTTATATCCAAAGAAAGCATAGGAAAAAGTTACAAAATATAGCAAATGTAATTAATATGTTACGTCAGGGCAATGGTAACTATGAATTTGCCGTTTTTCTTGCCTTCAGCAATGAAGATGAGGACTTTGTCAATACACATTTTCTACATCAGCTGAATGAAAATCTTCAGTTGATGACAGGAGTTGATAGAGAATTAGTTTGTACAGGTGACCGACATATTCGACCTGGTTTCTTTGTTCAAAATGAGACGTGGAGACTCTTGGCAGCAGCGTCCGTTTTAATTGTAGTAGCTTCGGAAACCTTTTGTCAAAGTGTTTATTGTAGAGGTGAGCTTGAGCAAGCGTTCATGGAAGGGACCCCATTTTGATGTTTATTGAACAAGTGGAACAAGAACCGATGCCACCAACTATAAGAGAGGTATACCAAAGGAATGTAAGGATTTTTTGGACATTTGAAAACGGTGAATACAAAATGAAAACAACATGGGAAAATGTTTGTAAATCTGTTTTAGACCTTATGATATGAGGACCAATGTTCGTATTGAAATAACTGTATAACATGGCTACCTTCGGTGCCTCGAATACTTTCCAGTTTGAAAATAAGTTACTTTAGTCAAGTCACTGATACTTTAAATAGAAAATTAACTTTGATTTTTACTTTTCTATTTTTTATTTTTTCGTATGATGTTATCATTATTATTTATTTTTTGAAGACATGCTACATAATTACGACGAATTGACACAAACAAGTTAAAGATATGCTATGTTCATATCTTTATCACGTAAATTTATTGAAATCAATAAAATTCTTAATGTATATGCCTAATTTGAATAAAATAATGAATAAACTGTGTATTGGAAGTTGCGTTCACTAATACCTAAAATTCCCCAAGATGTTCTAACTTCAAATTTGGGAATAGTATATCTTTAAGAACTAGGTATCTTTAATTCAAATAATATCCCAAATTCATTTATAATTTGGATTCGTGTTTCTGTGATATAGTGGAGTTAAGAAAGTATATAAACATAAAGTTCTAAAATATTTAAGCATTGATTTAAATAAAGATTGTTTATTCCAAAAGTTTTGCAATTAGTTTTTATGACATGTGTGTTTTGTTTCTCTTGTTGTTTTTTTCTGATTTTGTCTGAATTTTTCATAGTGTTTTGTCTGTCGCTCCATATATAAAGTTCTCCTGGTAACTAACAACAAAATTAACGATTTCTTCCACAAGTTACAGACTACTTATCTATCATTACATCTAAATCAGTAGTGAGAGACAAATGACCACTTCACCTACTGTCTGAGATCAATTTTAACGAAGAAATTTCGCCGTGACCGAGGATCATACCAGACACCTCTGGATAACAAATCGGATACTCTTTTATTTAGCTAAGCAATCATTTCGTATTTCAAATTAATAAAAATTGCCAGTATTTCTATTGACACTACATGTATTAAATATTAGATTGTGACGACCTTAAGTGTTTAATAGTATTATTTTCAAAGAAATACAAGAAATTCATGTAAATGTGTTTTAAACAGTAATAGCAAAATATCTAACGCGTATATAAATATACTTTTATTGCATAAATACCTTCAATCTCGTATTCACAACATGTTAAAAATATTATAGCAAAAACTACCGTGTTGATTTTTTTCACAATTGTTATTGCGATGATGTGCGATATTTTCAACAGGTTTGTATGCCAAAACGGTGGAATTAGCCGTAGAATCGAAGTATATTCGGCAAAATTAAAAGAAAGACATCAATGAAAAGGCAATACGTCTACTGAACATTATTAAATTTAGATTTAGAACATCTGATGAGAATTGAAATAAACCGGGCCGTTTTATCGATAAAAATGTCGAAATTCCGCCGCCGACGATAGGAGGCGCTTGGACATCATACCAACGGTTTCTTTTACAAAATAATGCTGCGAAGTAAATGTTACATATCTACATGTATGCATACCAAAAATCATCAAGAAGAAAAACGTGAAATAGTGTGAATAAATGTATGTTATGTTTTTAGAATATAACGAACGAAAATGGTCATATTAAAACATGTGTGTACCTGGGGGAAATAAATCTTCATTAAACAGTAATAAACAGTTGTGATATGGTTCGTGGAGTTGTCCCCCTTAGAAGTAAAAAGTATCGTAATTCTGTTTTTAGGAGGGCTTTTCATATTCTTTCAAACCGGTACCGTTAGCGTTGTTAAGGTATCCGCTTTCGGGTCGGGAGGTCGAAGGTTAAAGCCCTACGGGTAGCGTTAATTGAAGAATAAAAGGACTCGTTCCGAAATGGCCGCTTCGTGAGCCGCGAGGTAGTTAAAATGAATTGTTACCGATTTCTATCCGACTGGCATAGTTGTAGGAGTTGGGAGGTACATGGTATGCAAGCAAAAGGTTTATAGTTAGTCAGAAATTGTAACGATATCAGATACTAGTTTAACCTGCATGATTATTTACCTTGACCTTTATATTATCAGTACTATTCCATTAATGCTTGAATGGGCAGTTCTTATTTATAGACAGGCGATTCCCGCCACTAGCCAGTTCTGAGATTAAACTTGATAAGCTCACATCTGTGTTCTTACTTTAATATAATAAATATACGTACATTAAAACCAAGAAACATTACACAAGAAATATTACATGGTGTCAGAAGAAAAAAAAACGGATTAAAAAAAAAGTGAAAAAAGGATTATAAAGCTCTCATATATTTTAAACAATTGTTAGAACAATGGAGGGAATTCCACCGCCGAATATAAATTGGGATAGTACCAATTTGCCAGACGAATGGCAAAAGTTTGAAGAGCATGCAAAATTAATATTCAACGGCCCGTTACTGAAGAAGAGTGAAGAGCAGGGTAGGAAGTAGGGGCAGAGAAGTCCGCCAAACATGGGGCGATATATCAGCAGAAGACCAGAAAAAATTAGAAACATACTACACACGGTTTCGAAATTATGTACAGCCAAAACTAAACCCCATCTTTGCCAGGTTTAAATTTTACAACGAAACGCAGGGTTCAGACAACTTCGACTCTTTCCTGACACGACTACGGATAAGGGTTAGAGATTGTCAATTTGACAAGCCGGAAGAAATGATCCGTGACATAATTGTTTTTGGGATAAATAACCCAAAAGCCAGGGAAAAATTGATCAACGAAGGTGATAAGTTAACACTTGACAAAACAATTCACATTATGCAAAATATGGAATACTGCCAAGAGCAATTACGGACAATAGGCAAAGAAAATGTAGACGCAGTCAAACAGAGAAATATACGCCCTAATCATCGCCATCGCTATCAGCAGCATCATCATCATCATCATCAAACAACAACAACAACAACCAATAGCGCAACAAAAAAGCAGCAGGAAACTGCAAGGATTGAAACTGCTCAAACTGTGGACGAAAAAAGCACCACACATCATCATCAAATCTGTCCAGCCAAAAACATGACATGTCATAATTGTGGAAAGTTTAACCATTTTGCCAGTGTATGCAGATAAAAAAACAGGAATGTTCATAACGTTAGTTCAGCAAATGGATTTAAACAAAGTGATTCGGATGCAGAGGAAAATACAGAATTTTGCATAGACACGGTAAATTTTTCTTCTCCTATTGAACGTGCATTTGTCCAAATAAATGTTGGCCCTTCCCGTATACCTATACATTTCAAATTAGACACAGGTAGCGCTGTAGATATTCTCCCTTTAAATCAGCTCAAGAAACTCAACATAAATCACCCTCTTGAGCCCCCCAGTAGTCACTTGACCTCATACACTGGTAACAGGTTACCTGCACGCTCAACCTGCAAATGAGTTACAGGGATCAGAGCTGTCAATCAAATTGCTACATTTGTAGATAGCAATACCGTCCCACTACTTAGTTTACAAACATCTGTTAACCTTAACCTGATACAATTGACATACTCAGTAGAAACCTCTACACCACTTGATGAACAAAAGATCTTATCAGAGTATGGAGATGTATTTAAAGGCATCGGGGTCATTCCAGGTGAAAGTAAATTGCACATTAGGCCGGATGCAATTCCTATCATTAATCCTCCCCGCAGGGTTCCGGAGGCATTAAGAGACAGGTTAAAAAATGAACTCCAGCACATGGAGAAAGAGGGGATAATTACAAAAGTAACGGAACCTACAGATTTTGTTAATTCCCTTGTGATAGTTGAGAAGAAAACAGGGAAATTGAGGTTATGTATTGACCCTAAAAACCTGAATGACGCTATACGAAGGCCACATTATCCTATGCGAACTATTGACGACGTGACGTCACGACTGACGGACGCAAAGTACTTCAGCATACTAGATATTTACACACGGCTTATTGGAGCGTTAAACTAGACGAAAAGTCCATCCTTTTTGACAACATTTAGCACGGTATTTTTGGCAGATTACCGCTGGCTTAGACTTCCGTACGGAAATTTCTGCGTCAAGTGATATTTTCAATGCAGAAAATTTGACGAAATATTTGAGGGACTTGACGGACTTACCGCCATAGTTGACGACATTTTGATTTACGGAAGATCGCGCGAGGAGCTTGCGCAGGGCCCCTTGACAAGGTCAAATCAGTGGGTATTAAGTTAAAACCCAGATAAATGTGTCATAGGTGTCACAGAAGTGCCTTTCTTAAGACACCTTCATCACATCAACAGGACTTGAAACCTGATCCCTCGAAAATCGAGGCAATAACAAATCTTAAGGCTCCAACGACAAGACAAGAGTTAGAGCACGTGCTTGGCATGGCAAATTATTTACAAAAATTTGCGCCAAACTTGGCTGAGGTCACCCAGTCCAATGAGAGGATTACTGAAAAAAGATATTGAATTTATGTGGGATGTTCCACAATCAACAGTCATTTGACAAAATGAAGGCAATTATCACAGAAAGTCCTGTGTTGGCTTATTTTGATGACAAAAAGCCAGTAACACTCGAGTCTGATAGTTCCAAATATGGATGTGGTTCCGCCATTTACCAAGATGGCCGTCCGGTAGCATTTGCATCCAAGACATTGACCGACACAGAGTCTCGGTAGGCAAAACATAGAGCGAGAATTAAACGCAATAGTATTTGCATGTACACGATTTTCATCAATACGTTTATGGCAGAACAGTGACTGTACATAGTGACAACAAACCGTTATGCGCAATCATGCAGAAAAATCTTTGCGCATGTCCTCTAGGCTACAGAGGATGCGACTGACATTTGAGCAAATATGACTTGAATGTCAAATTTGTACCTGGTAAGCAAATACCGGGTAAGCGACATGCTGTCCAGAATGCCTCTCAAAGATAAATTCAACAATGAAGACTTTGACCTACATATACACACTATACTGAAAGGGTTACCAATAACTGACCGCAGACTTGAGTCACTGAGGCATGACACAAAAAACTGACGCAAAGCATGAATCTGCTGAAACAGACGATAAATGAGGAATTTGATATCACATGACGTACCAGACAGACCATGGCAAAACATTGCCGCTGACCTGTTCTCATTTGACAACAAGAACTATCTGGTCACTGTAGTCTATTACAGTCGATACTTTGAAGTAGATGCTCTCCCAAATAACTCAAAGTACAACTGTAATTAGAAAACTTAAAGTCCATATGGCCCGATACGGCATATGTGACAAAACTAATGACAGACAACGGCCCGCAATTCTCTGCAGAAAATTTCGCAGATTTTGCGAGAGAATGGGGTTTTTTTCACATGTTACATCAAGCCCCTTACATCCAATCAGCAATGGTCTCGCTGAAAAAACAGTGTCCATTGTTAAAAGGTTATTCAAAAAAAGCCCAGGAAAGCCAGAAAGATCCATATTTGGCTATTCTAGAACATAGAAATACCACCCCTTGAAGTTGGCTTTTCACCAAACCAACTATTAATGGGTAGAAGAACAAAATCAATTCTACCTGTCCCTAATGCGCAACTGAAGCCCCAATGCATCGACCCTAAGACCAATAAATTAAAAAACTGAAAGATATCAAACAAAAACAAAAAATCTTGCTATGATAAAACCACCAAAAAACTCCCCCCTCTAAAACTAAATGAGTATATACGGCTTCAGGTTAAAAATCACTGGGAGCCATCAAGAGTTATAGAAATACACGATGACCGCTCACTAAAACAGGTGGTAATTACAGCAGAAACAGGGTCAAGCTGAACAAAACAAAGGAAAACTTTCCAGAAATTCAAGAATTCTCACCTAGAATCCTGGAAGAATCACCTCCCAATAACCCCCTATTGAACCCCACTGTCAGTAACTTTCCAGAATCAACATAATTCTTACCACGCTTATAACCTCTGAGTGCAATGATAAGCCCCGCCAAAATAACCCTTATGTCACACGTTCAGGCAGGGAAGTAAAACAGAACAAAAGATACTTTGATGAAAAATGGAGTAACAGATGAACAATAAAGCAGAAAACATTTAAAAAAAGATGTGTTTGAACTTTATGACTTATTATCAATCAAACCGAGTCTGCAATTCTCTTTTAATTTTGTTGTGATTAATGCTTCCGAGGGATCACTTTGTTTCCAGATTTTTTTATTAGTTAAAACCTATGTTTTAATTACACGCATTATTGTAATTCATATACATGTATTTTTTCATCAATGATAAAGCTTGTTTGTTTGTTAAGTAACAACTTAAACATCTATATTATTCATTATTTCATGTAATAAAAATATTATTGTTAAATGATTATCAAACATATTTAATAGACATTTGTATATTGAAAGAGTTTCAAATTCTCAAGAAGAGGGAAATGTAACGATATCAGATACTAGTTTAACCTGCATGATTATTTACCTTGACCTTTATATTATCAGTACTATTCCATTAATGCTTTGAATGGGCAGTTCTTATTTATACCCAGGCGATTCCCGCCACTAGCCAGTTCTGAGAATAAACTTGATAAGCTCACATCTGTGTTCTTACTTTAATCTATTCACATTTGTGAATAACTGAACTCCGTATCCATAATAAATATACGTACGTTAAAACCAAGAAACATTACACAAGAAATATTACAGAAATGACTGGCCCTTTCAGTAGGGGTGACACTATAATAAACAAGACCTTTACCTTTACCTTCTATCTTATGTTTGTATTAGAAAATATATTTTAAATATGCAGTATGTCTGTAATCTTGTTGAATCATTAATAGATGCCGGGGATACAAACTTTAATAAAATTGTGAAGTAAGCTTTGTTTAACAGTACTATATGGTATATCTAAATCAAATTAATTGTTCCAAATATATGAACAGCTAATACTCGATAACGTACCTTAAATAAAAAGCGCTTGGTTTACAAAGGGTGATTAAGTTTAAGTATATTTTACCAATACTGTATCATGTTAAGTTTTCTAGTAATATGTAACGAATAACAACTAAGCTCACCATAAAGCGCTGACAAGTTGATTTTTTTTTGCTCATAAGACTTTCCATAAAAGATTAGTATGTATTAATTTTGTAATTTTAGCATCGTGCATTTACAAAACCTCCAAATTTTAATATTCAAAATGGGCCCGACTAGAAAATAAAACAAATTACATTTCTAATTAGTCGAAACCTATACATTTTTAAATACTTATAACATGTATGCAAAGCAAATTTGGCATGTTAGCTATTCTGTTTTGAGTTCTAAACAATTGTTGTTTTTTTATAAGGAGAGTAATTCAAAGGTATTTAAATGATTCTATATGTTTTGATTGGTGAGCTATATATAAAAAAATTGCTGAGTTTATCTGCCTTTTTCAAAAATCCTTGCTTTTTTGTAAACGTATTGTCATGCTTCTTCAATATTGAGAACAATACGAACCGACTTAGAGGTTTTGCACTTCTAATTTCTGTTAATCTGTTAAAAATCACCCATTAATCCATTCAGGGTTGCGGAAAAGATCAAAGAGATTGATAAAATATTATTTTTGAATTATCATTTTAAATTTCAATAAGTTAATTATTAAATGTTGTACTACACAAGATATCACAGATGAAAACATCATCACATAATTTAGATTCTTTGATTTTACTGGCATTTTCAGATATTTAAAT